ATGATACTAGCCTCACGTAGGGAACAAGTCCAAGAACCAAGCAGATAGGCTATGGGGTTATGAGGCAGCCTTGCATGCAGCTCCCTTTGGATCATCCACTTGCTCAAAAGCAGGCAAGCGTCACCAAGATGGGAGATGCGTCGCGCCATCGCTCAAGTGTCCGCTTGGTGTGAACCGTTTTCGCGAACTCCGAAAGCGTTTCCGACTCAGTCATCACCCCTCATGGATCTCGGATTCAACTTATTTGCGTCTGCGCCATGCAGTTCCGTAGACGTACAGAAGCAAGTTATGCTTACTTAAACTCACTAGGGCTCTCAAAGCAACTCCGAGTACTTGCGATTTAGGCTCTGGTTCAAGGAGCAATGTTTGCTATGTTTGCTGATCTTACATGGAGCTGATAACGGCATTATGAAAACTCGCATTGCATGAAGCTCAATGTGTCCTCTCTCCTGACACGCGCTTTCCGATCTGGAATGATGCCTTCAACCTCGGCGCTTGGTTCGATTGCCATCTGGTTAATCCTCAACTGACCTCTCAGTGTCCATTTCACTAGACTTCCATGTCGGTTTTAAGCAAAACGCTCTGTTAGTGGAAGAACCTATTTCCCACTCACCCACTTGGATTTTGTATGGCTTCGTAAAATGTGTAATTCAAACCCGTTTGCGTCTACTTGAGTGTATGTCCAGGAGGTTTACACCATGTAGCTCTCAACTAATGGTAAATGTTTGGCATGTCTGTTAATTCTTGCAAATTCGAGTAGCCATTTCTGTCTAATGGTTCCTTTTGGTAACTCTTGCAATATTTTTTTCATCTACGATTCAGTGAAGGGTAAAAGCAGAACAGACAATGCTGATTTTTTACAAATTTGATGCCCATTTTCTAAAGAACGTGTTTTTAATCACATGCAATGCTTCGCTAAATGCAAATAAGCCATCAGTAAGAATGAAATTGATGTAAAAATCGCACATAACTATGTTTTAACCCAACTCCACAAGTAGATATACTAGAAGGCGAGTATCCTAAAAGACAATTGGTAAGGATTTTGAGTAATGAAAAAGTTAAGTAAGCAATTCGACCACAGTTAAGAGTTGATGATGTCTTTGGTTTGCCCTTAACTCATGCTGGACCCACTCCAGCATCTATTGAAACGTGTTCACTGGCTCCAGGCAACACCAAACGGTGTTCTGATCCTCACTGGACATAATGTCAAAATTAGAGCGTTTTAATCTGTTCGAAATCAGTCAGCTTTTTGTGGAGATGAGGAACCAGCAGCTCAATGCTTTTCATTGATAGAATATGTATGTTCCTGAAGAGAAGTCAATGACGAAGCTTAAGAATTTTTTGTGGCTAGTTGGCAGGAAAGGGAACTGAAGACTTAAGGGTTCCACAACACCGATTATTGATTATTTCCCAGCATTTAAAACATATTCATAAATAAGTTATACGTGAAGATCGGGAACGCGGTTTCACAACATTAGATGGATTACCAGGTGTCATGATTAAGTCCATACATTCAATTGCAATCAATCAGCTTGTGGCGGAGATGAGCAGCCATCAACTCAATGCTCTTCATTGTTAGAATATGTATGTTCATGAAGAGAAGTCAATGGCAAAGCCCTACAATTTTTTTTGACAAATTGGCAGGAAAGGGAACTGAAAATTTAACGATTTTAGATCACTGATCCAAAGCCACACCTTCACTGAAAATTTTCCAGAATCTACCCAGAAGACCTCGGCAGTCAGATGTGAAAATAAACCGGAGTAGAGGTTTAATTTGCCGTGTAACAAAGTACAAATTTGCTGATACTGTTGTTGCGTCAGCTGAAGGTACACGAGGCAGCCTAGAGGAACGGAGAAGACGTCTAGCTGGACACCCCAACCAGGTCCTGAAAGTACGGCACCATGGATCTGTGTACAGGGAAATATCTTTCCACCTGCAACATCATTGTCGACGCATTCAATTGTAAACCACACATTCAAAGATAGTCGTTTATGCTATTTGTCGCAGCAACTGACCCATGGTGGAGCGTTCACATCTGTCTGTTTTTACTAAATGTGTAAACGTGTATTGCGGAGGCCTCTTTTCGTGGATGGTTTTGCAGTCAATGGTCAGTTCACAGGCCAGGTTCTGTGAGCACATTACTTCGGCTGACGACTAAGATTTCCACAACTAAACCGGTTTTTCATTGGTGGCACATGTCTAGCTTCATGAAACCGAAGTTTTTTCACTGAATGAAAGCTATAAATATGCATTGATGAAAAAGTATTTGGAACAACGTCCATTCGGAAATACAACGACGCAACATCCTCTAAATCCCGACATATGGAATCCCAAAGAAAGACGGCAGAATATTGTAGAATTTGAAAGTAAAATGGGCACAGGATTTCGTTTAATTGAAAGGCCAACAGGAAGGGAAAATGCTAAAGGACTAGCTGTAATGAAAGCCTGATTGAAACCAATCCCCAAGAGAGGCGAATAATTGCTGCCCCAAGGAAATGAGCGCCTCGTGTGATATTTAATTCCATCTGAACAGTCACCGAGTCGGTTAGATACCAACATCGGTTGCGATTCAAGTTTTATTGCACATCCAAGACAGGTGTCAGAATGTGTTGCTTAAATGTACATATTTGCAAATTGTCTCTAGAGGCAGGTAGGTTATACACGTTCGAAAACAGAGGTGAGGCAGTTGCTCCTGGCCAGACCCTGGAACACCTGTCCAGGCCACGCCGACCACAAGACGCCAGTGAACATGCTTTCACCACCAAAAATACTGCACCTGGACTAGTAACTGGGCGTCGTACGCAGAAACGCACACAAATCCACAATGCGCGCCTTTCGAGTTCTCCAATCAGCGCTCACCGCACAGCCGCACGCGCACACGTGCAGCGTGGGCCCAACCCATCGCTTCCCACTTAGGGAAATGTCTATACGGTCATAAACACGATAATGATCAGGTAGCAGTAATGGCTGTAAATCCACCTAGAACACCAACCAGGTCCCGTAGTGTTGTAATTACTCTCTACCTGGCCATGACCTCATTCAAGGGACCCCCTCTACTGTGGATGTTATTGGCTGCCTGCCTCTGGCACATTACTCCCGTGCTTGGGAGCACTGAGTTCTGGCATCATCAGATACCAATTTTTATGCCACCCGACCCCTCAAGACCTTGTCGACACGCCTTCAGGGATGACCCGGAGACGAGTGCGCTTCTTGCGGACTTCGTCGTCATCGGCAAACCAACGCCTACCTACCAACACCGTCCTGGAGTTCTGTACAACGCCAGCGTCCTCGTAGAACAGGTGTTAAAGCGACCCCGATTTTCGATTTACCCTGTTCGTGAGGGCTACCCCATACTAACTGGTCCCTTCTCGCAGTGGACTGATTTGGGACGCTGTTGGCTGAACGTGCGGTCGAGGATAAGGTACATCTTTTTCATCGAGCGACCGAATTGGGCTGGATTTTTTCGTATCTCCCAATTACCCCTTGCCTACACGACTCAGCACTGGCAGAAGATTCGGACAATATTGAAAAAACCCCGTAAGTGTTAGCGCGTTTCTTTGAGTGCTTTTCCATTCTCCGCCACAGTTGTAATTCGGTAATATGAAACAGCAGTCAACATTATCATCGCTGTGGAAATGTCAGTCTATTGTTACGTCGTTGGTTTAGACAGGCAAGAAAGTTAAATAAAATAACGACCGATCCACTACCGGCCACCTTGGAAAACCCGCGTGCGGTTAAAATGCAAAAGTACGAAAATCAAGCATTGAAGGGTTGATCTTAAAACTAAATATTGCCTGTTTATTGGCCCGTAAACTGTAGACCGCCAATTCAGTCACGGTCAAGCGAACCGTTGGTGTCATCAGGCTCATTTAAAATAAAAAGTCTGATGTGTGTCTGGTTATTTATGAGTCATTTATCAAGAGTCAAGCCAAGATCAAAATTCAGTATTTTTTGGCTCCAATGGATTTATTCTTTGATTCTTCAACAATAATTTGAATTTTACACATTATTCAAATGCACTATATCGGCTAATTAGATTGGCTAATACCTAGTCTACTACCCAATAAATTTTCGTGATTGGTCAGGTCAAAGTCTGCGGTAATTTTATTGGACGTCAGAGTGTATTCCAGTATGCCCGTTACAAATTAAATTGCTTGAAATCTTATCGACCAATGAAATGCACTATAATCCTGATAATCACTTGGAAGAAAAATATTCGAATTTTTGGTTTTCAAGAAAATTTTGGGTCGCCCTATTTCCGGTTTCATGAAAATTGTTTCTAAAACTTGTTGAAATGCAGTGGAGATAATCACCGAACTTGCATTTCTTGCCACATTCAAATATATGCGCAGTTTGGTGCGTTTTCGAAAGTCCTCATAATTTCGCACACAAAAACGAAACAACTTCCTTTATTAAGCATTAATTGGTTCTTGGGAATTTTGCCTGGTTTTTCTGGCGTTTTGTCTATCGTTATGTTTGCCAAAAATCAGCCCCTGTCCTTTTACTTTGTACTTTAAGAATCCGCCTTGTTAGTGGAGCGCTTAATTGATTCTTTTTTAAACAAGTTGAGTCATGATCATCTACCTCCGCCTCATTGGCACCTTCTAACCCCACAGTTCCTGGAATAAAAGTCTGACCCCGAGGCAAGACCTTGTAGTTTTCCCTCACGAAAAATTCTTCACTGATCCGAAAAGCTTATGGTTCGACGGGGCCATCCTTCGTGCCGTTTAGAGTAAATCTTGAGTTGTGGGATCCAGAAGTGAGCAACTCACGTTGAGCTTCAGCATTTCAGGCTTCGTTTCCAATTTTCTGATAGTTAACTTGAGATCATCTTCATTTGCCTAGTTCAATTTTTCTCTCACAGTTCAAAATTATCGATTTTTAAATTTGTAAGCCAGCAGTGAGGAGTTCTGATAGTCAGCTGTCTGCACAATTGAGTGAGTTGAAACTCAAGAATACAATGTTGAAGTACAAATTCCCTAGTTTAGAAATCCCGCCAGCACAATGAAAAACAGACACTAAAATTCTGTCCCCGATTTTTCAACCAACCTATGCAGTTTTTGTTAGTCAATTTTGTACTGTCACGTAAGAGAGCAATGACATCGATGACACCCGCTTCCAAGTTGAGTCTCGATCTCTGATATGCGTCTTATTCATCAAGTTCTCTAAGAAACCGACGGTAAATGTGAATGAATTGAATGAGCACATGAGTTGTGTCGCTGAAAGTAACGTCCATCAACTGAATCACGGCATTTAGACAATCGGACAAAAATCACCACAAAGCCATGCGTCGGGTGGGATTAGTTTACACCCATCTGGATGCAATTGCATCTCATGCAACAGTAACGCACCATCTTTTTTCCCGAATGAGAAACCTGTTGTGATTTATACACACACGCCCATGAAGATATTCTAGTGGAAAAATCTTTGATCTTTTGGTTCTCCTCTGTGTTAACCTGGTTAATGCCTTTGCGTCTCTCAAAACCCTCTACCGGTGGTGTATTCTGCAATGGCAAAAAACGGACCTATCTACTCCAGGCCCCGAACATTTGTCTTGTTTTTGGAAATGGCAATAACAGGCAGACAAAATTACCCCAGATGCAAAACACCGGTCAAGGAAGTGGAGGTTGCAGGGCAGGTAGATTGCCCTGGGTGATTTTGTGCTCTACACTCTAGTTGTCTGCGTTAATCGCAGCAGCACACGTTAACACCAAACTATGGGGATCTGTTATGAGGGGCCATTTGCCCTGGAATAACGCTGGCTATTAAACAAATGGTTTGTGCTAACTGGCACCCTTTGATCTGCATAATAAACCTTTGCGTTACACAGTTCCTGGGCGCAGATTCTACTAAATGGACAATGTTCCAGGTAGGAAGTCACCTTCGACAACGTTTTGCTAGATCGTGAACCGTTTTGGCTAATTTGCTAACTCCCCTTCGCTCCTTCTAAGCGCTTTTAAACGGCATTTGCTGGAGATGGACAGGTGTTTCAAACCGGAAATCTCGATTATTCCTGGGACATTTTGCAGCAGTCGACTTTGTCGATGCATTGGAGCAGAGAAAGCGTCAAGAGGCGAGACTGAGGGAGCAGTCATGCCTTTTTGCTTCCCCTCCACGGGGAATAAAGGAGGTAATGAGGGGGGACCACTGTCCATTGCCGCAGTCTCATTGGTTAAAGTCCTAGAGACGAGTGAGATGTGCTCTTGAGATTACTTGACAGCACTACCGCGGACATCGCTCGACCTATTACCGGTCATTTGGGCGTGAACCAACATCGCTAAAGCCGCTTCAGAGCTAAAATGATGGACACGGAGTTTGGCAACGAGTCGCGATGGGTTTCAGGAGAGGTTGGAGTTAGAATAACACGTTTCACCGTCACTCTGCGTAAGCTGCTTCGCCAATACTGCCTTATTTTCCACACTTGATGATATTCATTTAAAAGTACGTTCGCTTGGACTTATCAACAAGGTAGCAATATTTGACAAATAGTCAGTGATTCCATGAAAGCCATTTATCTGATAAATGTATCGCATGTTTACGGCTTTTTTTGCTGGAAAAGTAACTGAACTTTTCGCAGACAAGGAGCATGTACAGTTATTTATGTAAACTATCCTAAACTGCTTGAAATTGTCTATTTATGGGGTTTGTGAGTTCATAGTCAAAAATGCTGTTTTTGAGCTTATCTCCGCTTTTTACGAAAACTGGGGTTCTGTGCTAGCATCAGTGTATTTCATGTACATAAAATCGACGCGCTCTGTCAACATCCCAAAGGCACTTGGGTGGGTTATGTTAGACCAAATTCTCACCTTAGAATGATCTCTTGTAGCTGGTAAAGAGGCACTTTTTTCATCTCTGTGGGCTGCAGCATCCCACGCAACGATACCTTCAAATTCACAGCAGAAAGTTTTGCTAAGAGTGACTAATCGCGAGAGAAAGTACTTTATGCTTTCGTGTGGATCTCCAATCTTTTGATAATTTGGAGGTAATAACCGAAGCGCCCTTTTTTGTGGTACATCCAAGAAAGTTCGCTCGCGTTATTATTTGATGGTCGACGTCATCCTCGTTGGTCACAGCTCTTTCGACTTTTAAATTCGATTATCGCATCAAGTGTAGTGACTGTGTGGTACAACAGTCAACATAGCTGGCAACCATAAACCCACCATTTGATTTACTTCTTCGTTCCTTTGGGATCTTGACGAGAACTCGTTGTTAAGCTCAACTGACAATACAAAGAGGAAAAAGTAATTTTCTGAATTTGTTGGTCAGCTGAAAGATTTTAGACGGGCCTAGCAACGGCCAGTAATCCAGCTGATGGAACTAACTTAGAGCAAATGAGACCAACAATCAAGGCGACTTGACAGAGTGTCGGCGCAAACGGGGGTTCATGGATTTACCAAGAAAACTGCTAAAGTGATGGTGGCCTACGAATCATATTTAGCACAATTCACCGAGAACACACGACTCGTTACCTGGGTTACGGCTGGAAGGCTACTAGCTAGCGGACACGACTTCAAGCATCCCGCCAGGGAGTGAAAAAAGTGCCACCACGACTGCACACAGTTGTGTTCTAAGCGGTCACAAATATCTCCACAAAAACCACCGTTTTTATGCACAAGAAGAAAGACAAGAGGCTGCAGCATTACTCACTCTGATAGTCTGCTGTTTGTGGTTTATTATGGATTCGCTTGTGCATAAATTCCGCCTTGTTGACTATGTCCAAACAATTCTACCGTTGTGGCTTGTCGCGCATTTGTTTTCCCGATTGCATTATTTCCAAACAGTTTATAAATGTTGACATCTTGAATTAGAAAAATTAGTAAATTTCAGTACTCTGGCTAGTTTTTTTTTCATAAAATTTGATTATTTCTCGAGAACATACAAGGGAAATCTGAAAATCAGGCCTATTCTTGTGATTTTGTGATTAAAATGCTCGCTTTTAGGACTTTTTCAAACTGCAAATGCTGTAATATTTAAGAAAAAACGCGTTAAACAGGAAAATTTAATGGTTTAAGAGGTCAAAAATTATTGAAATTTAGCTTGATTCGAGTTCGCTGGCATTTCAGCTAGAGCGTATTTTACGAAAAATGGTGTTCCTGATTCTTCCATGGCCGCTAATCAGAATGCAGAACCTACTTTGTGGGCTAAGTTATTGAAAAGGTTAATTTTTCCACCAATGATGGTTTTCAATTTTGAAAATGAGATCTGTTATAGGTGGCCACTAAAGGGAATGCACACAATTGTGATAAATTGGGCCAGTTAAGTTGCCGACCAATGGTAATAATCCATTTTGAAAATGAATACTTTACCCGGTGGCAACCAATCAGAACTCAGGACTTTCATCTTGACTCTCATTTTGTTGCTATCAGTGATAATCTAAATTTAGTTATTGGCATCGTATACGTGATTTAATCTTGAGACGGACCTATTTGCACAATTCTTGATTTAATTGAAGAATTACCTACCAACTGAAGTTGCGAGGCTATGAAGGGGAAACTAGGCCCGATTTTGGCACGGATTCTGGCTCTAGCTGTAATTTATCACCCCTACAACCACCTTCACACGATGCTCTTGGCCTTTCTTTGTTGCTAAAAGTACCCCCGATGGTTGATATTTAAACACACTTAGCCCCCACGTAGAGTGGCACTTTGAGAAATAGATGTCTCTCCTACCAAAAGGCCCCCATTTGAGAAAATGTAAAGACTTGTGCAACATTTTGAATCAACGCTACTTCGCACTTTAGTGGTTAGGCAATAAACCGAGTCTCATTGGCTGCCTCCTTGAATTGTATTCACGGATACAACCAAAAGAGATTGTTTTCAGGCGTGTAGAGTACAATCACAATTATTTAAGATAACTCGGATCATGACTCCATCTAATTTTAAGTTAAACGGGGCCGTTTCTCGCAATGCAAACATAACATTCTGTCAATTAAGATAACCTTCTACCCGATGGCTTTTTATTGGATAAATTCTGGTTGCAGCAATTTTCATTGGACATTAGTCCTGACCATTTACAAGACTTATTTTAGTGGCCTATTTTAGAACAATGATAGGCTACAGAGCTCAGAGGAAAAATGGAAGACAGCATTTTTGCTAAACATGAGCTTAAACAATGGCTGAGCTGTGGAACCGGAATTATACACGCTCATGATGTTTTTTGGGATGGTGCTCATGCTCTTGGGACAGTCACAAATTTAATTTCACTAATTTAAAAATTACGAATTCATTAAAATTGTTTGTTTTGCTGTGAGCAACTTCCCAGCTTGGATTGTGACGTTGGATATTAATGGTTGAGGGTTAACACTGATGCCAGAGAATCCTTTGAATTCACAATTTTCAGCAAAATAAGAAATGACAGGATGTAACAAACTGAGCCCTTTTACGTTATCAAGGAGCTAAATGATCAGGAACGATGGACATTGGCAGAATTTCTGCATCGAATGTAGCCGTTTAAATGTGTCAGCAAAGTGTGCATAGCTGGTCACTCAAAAAGGCGTTATCTTGTAACCATGACAACACTAGACCGCATATACCTCAAGGCAACCGGTACACGTTGTTAAACGTTCCAGCTTGTCTTTGGTGTTTGTCTATATTGTTATTGTTGAAGACATCAGTGCTTTCACCCTTCGGTTAACAAAACAAAAAAATCCAACATTTGAAAGGGTTTCTGGCAGTTTCCGAAACCTTATTCCCGGCAAAACCACTTTGTACGCCTGGTTTTCTGGATTTTATTTCCTCTCAGATTTTGCTCACATCTCAACATTTCAAAATTCCAGCGCTCAAATCGCCTGTTTTTGCAGTTTAAACATTTGTATCACCTGACCAGTAAAAGATCAGAACGCAGACCAATCATGGTTTCAACAGGTAATTTAATTACAATCTTGCAATACACAAATTTGCATTGTTTCCGACAGGTAAATGCCTTTGTTTTAGTTACAAACATCCGTAATTGTTGCAATTCACGCTGCTAGATAATTTGCGCATTCAAATGCGCAAAGAACATGAACACACATTGAGTGTGTGTGTGTATTTTTTGAATGAATATGCTACATTACAGTTCAGAGGCTGGAAATTTGTCTTCCACGAATGCTGTCCTGCGTAGGTGGTAGATGTGTGTGTAAGCATCGTTACATGAAGTAATGGAGAGACGGTCTATTAATCACTTGAACGGATTTAGCTGTAGCCAAAGGAAGGGCCGTAAGTGAAGCATTGATAAACGTTGCTTTTTTGTAAAATTGGCCCCTCAACTTCGTAAAATGAGCACAGTGAAGTTGAAGGCTAATGGTAAGAACCCACAAACGACCACACCACGATGACCGTAGCCTTGTGCAGCCGTCTGTTTGGTCATTTCGTGTGCTTAAATTCAATCCTGTAACGTGAAACGTTCAACAACTGGACGAATCATGGACTCTGTGTATGCCTTTGCGAGCATGAGACTAGCAGAACACCGCAATTGAACACTGTCAAGTTGTGCGTTAACAGCAAAAAACCCTAGCCCACCACTTCACGATGATCTCAATCTTGTACGGGCGTCTAGGTGATCGTTTTGTGCACATGAATCCAATCCTGCAATGATATTTGTCAGACGAACCAGTGGTTCATGTGTCCAGTTAACCTCCAGATTGACTTAAATGCAGCGATCTATCCACCTCCGTATTCCAAATGTTCAATGTTAGGTTGCAAGATTGCGAACATGGCTCATCGATGCCACTTACAACAACCACCACTACCGCCACCAAAGATTAAGGTTGGATTTTGGAACTGTCCAACATGAGTGCTTCGTGCCACCTTTGAATTCACAGTCCACTCCATCATTGGACTCCATTGAAGGA